TCAGCTACTTGGGATGCTGAGGCAGGAGGATGACTTGAGCCTGGGAGGTCGAGGTTGCAGTGAGCTGTGATCATGCCACTGCACTCCAGCCTGAGCGACAGAGTGAGATTCTATCACAAAAAAATAATAATAATAAATAGGCAGGGTGCGATGACTCATGCCTGTAATCCCAACACTTTTGGAGGCTGAGGCGGGCGGATCATTTGAGGTCAGGAGTTCAAGACCAGCCTGGCCAACCTGTTAAAACCCCATCTCTACTAAAAATACAAAAATTAGCTGGGCGTGGTGGTGCGCGCCTGTAATCCCAGCTATTCCGGAGGCTGAGGCGGGAGAATTGCTTGAGCTCAGGAGGCGGATCTCAAAAAAAAAGGAGCCAGGCGCTGGGGCTCACTCCTGTAATCCCAGCTATGCAGGAGTCTGAGACAGGAGGATCACTGGAGGCCAGGAGTGTGAGGATGCAGTGAGCTATGACTGCACCACTGCACTCCAGCCTGGGCAACAAAGCGAGGCTCTAACAACAACAAAAGCTGCAACTTTATTATGAAGCATAATAAAATTCATGCAAGCATCATTGAAGGCTTAAACATAAGCAAGAAAGTAACTCATGATTTCTCTTCCTAAGAGCTTACTCTTCTTCATGGAAAATGGGTCAGAGGCTGCTAGAATGAACTGGGTGCCCTAATTAGTTATCATCATTATTGGCCAGGCATGGTGGCTCACACCTATAATCCTAGCACTTTGGGAGCCCAAGATGGGAGGATTGCTTGAGCTCAGGAGTTCAAGACGAGCCTGGACAACATAGGAAGATCCCTTCTCTACAAAAATTTATTTAAAGTTAGCCAGGTGTGGTGGCACGTGCCTGTGGTCCCAGATCCTTGGGAGGCTGAGGTGGGAGGATCACTAGAGCCTGGGAGGCCAAGACTGTAGTGAGCTGTGATCATGCCACTGCACTCCAGCCTGGGCAACAGAGTGAGACCCTGTCTCAAAATAAATAAATAAAAAGTGTTATTATTATTTTCCTTAAGAGGAGGCAGTGACATGTTGAGGTCTGCTTTAGGGAAGGAGAGTTATCTGGGCTCTGCTAGTGGGAGCCCCACATCTGAGGGGGGACGTGCAGTTGGGTTGGAGGGAGAGAATTGGTTGCTTTCTGCCCTGCAGCTCCCGGCCCGTGGTGGATGTGGTCACCCTGATGTCCTTCTCTCCAGCCGAGATCCCAGTGCATGAAGTGGAGTGCTCCTATTCAACAAGTAACAAGATGAAAGAAGGTGTTAATATCACAATCTGTTTCCAGATCAAGTCTCTCATCCCCCAGTTCCAAGGTCAGAGCTCTCCTCCTGCTCCCCAGGGTAGCTGCTGCCCCAAATCCAGGCTTATGGCCCTGGGATCCCCCACCATTCAACTCTTGCCTTTTCCGCCCTGCCCAGGCCACCTGGTTGCCAATCTCACTTACACTCTGCAGCTGGATGGCCACCGGACCAGAAGACGGGGCTTGTTCCCAGGAGGGAGACATGAACTCAGAAGGAACACAGCTGTCACCACCACCATGTCCTGCACTGACTTCTCATTTCATTTCCCGGTAAGGGAGCCAGCGCCAGTGCTCTGGGATGAGCTACCTGCAGGGGCAGGCTCAGCTCCGTCACTGTCCAGTGGGTGACACGTCACTTTCATCCCTCTGTGCTGTCACTTCCTCTTCTGCGCAATGGTAGTAATAACACCTTTAGCATATTTTCTTCTAGTGTTTTTTAAAAATTATATATATGGCCAGGCGCGGTGGCTCACACCTGTAATCCCAGCACTTTGGGAGGCCAAGACAGGCGGATCACGAGGTCAGGAGATCGAGACCAGCCTGGCTAACACGGTGAAACCCCGTCTCTACTAAAAATACAAAAAATTAGCCTGGCGAGGTGGCGGGCGCCTATAGTCCCAGCTATTCGGGAGGCTGAGGCAGGAGAATGGCATGAACCCGGGAGGCAGAGGTTGCAGTGAGCCGAGATCATGCCATTGCACTCCAGCCTGGACGACACAGCGAGACTCCATCTCAAAAA